ACCTGTAGCTTGTCTGTTTCTCAGAATCCCCAGCTTTCTTATAAGCCATCTACTGACCGGCATCGACACTATCATCGTGATTTATTGCCAAGTACTTAGCTGCTTGCCCACTGTCCTGTTCCCACCACCTTCCAAGCTCCAGTCCCTGTACTCTTTTAATCCCTGCTGTTTTATCTACTCAGCTTGCACTGTCCTGCTCCTTAAATTCACCTGCTGCCCTTCATTTATCTCCAGTGACTTCCTTTTTAAAAAAAAGACAAACTTAATTGAAAAACCTATTCCTCTGGTGTAATTCAGCCTGCTTGTTGCTTCGTCTTGTAATTGGAAGGTTGCCGGTTCAATCGCCGGTTCGGACAGTCTCGGTCGTTGTGTCCTTGGGCAAGACACTTCACCCGTTGCCTAGTGGTGGTAGTCAGAGGGCCCGGTGGCGCCAGTGTCTGGCAGCTTCGCCTCTCACAGTGCGCCCAAGGGCAGCTGTGGCTACAATGTAGCTTGTCATCACCAGTGTGTGGATGTGTGTGTGAATAGGTGGATGACTGAATGTAGTGTAAAGCGCTTTGGGGTCCTTAGGGACTAAGTAAAGCGCTATACAAATACAGGCCATTTACCATAACGTAACAAGTTATATTATGGTTTCTGTGTTAATGTCCTGTGACTGAAGAAAAAAAAATCCCATCGACGCAGATTATTTGTCTGCTGATATTTAGACAAATAATAGAATATAATGAATAACAAATTGAACAAAAAGAATAAAATACTATTGACAGTCAAAGTTTACTTTAAAAAAAAATTATATTAATAAAAAGCAAGTCGACTTCTAATGAGAAGTTAACATCTGTCAGTTATGTTCTTAAAGCTTTTATCTGTTGAATTCAGAAATGTATTATACAAGTGTTAGTATGAATGTTTAATGGTTCATAGACTGACTAGTATGATGTCATTTTACTGATGAGGACAACTGCGACAGGAGAACCCAATAATAGAGACCTACTGTAAAGGCATCCCAGCCAATTTGCTTATCCTTTTGCATAATATAGAGGCAAAGAGGTTGCGCTTTTCACGTTTCTCAATTTTATGTCTCTCATCTCTACTGTATCTTGAGACTGAAACAATTAAGTCAGTTTGGCATCTTACAGGTTGTCTCATTTCCTAAAATGCATCTGGAGGGCAGAGGAGTCCCGTCAGCATCACTGTAATGATGTACACTTTTGTAAGTTTTATCTGCAATGCATAGAAGAGGAGCTACAAAAAGTTGCAAGTAATAAATAACACACAAATAATGAGATTTCTAAATTCAGCATTAATTTGTATTCTTAGTTATTTAAGATGATTAGGTATGTAGTCTAACTTTTTACCCTTCACCATTTGTAAGAGTGCCCAAAAAATGGATATGCTCATCTATCAGTAATCAGAAGACACAGCAGTGCTCTGGAAATTAGACAATAGACAGATGATGCAAATGTGCCACACACTTTTTTAAGTGACATCAATTTAACACGATGCAGTAAAGCTGTCTTATCACTACAGTGGCTGACTGGACTCCTCTCTCTCCTCATGTCTCTTCCTTAGAGGAAGGGGAGGGACTAAGACTGGAGGGACTAAGACTGCTTGGAGAGGAGGCGAGGAAAAGAACTGACAATAGCTCCTATTCCCCAGTCCATTACAACAAATACAAAAACAGCATACAGCCTTCCTGCAAACATCCACTCCATTGAAAGGGTGGACAGCAGCATGAAAGAGATACTGGGAAAACCCTTTAGCAATCAAACATATTTGCTGCATAACAATGACTTTGTATAGATTCCTTTTAGCTTAATATGCATGGATAAAACAGCTTAAAGATACTGTCATTTAAAGTGTAATGTTCTGATGTCCCCGAGTGACAGTCCTGTGGTTCAGAGAGAGGGCTCAAAGATGAAGTAAAAGTCATGATTTACTGGGACAAACTGAGTGAGAAACACTTCTGGCAGCCAAAATGCTCATTCATTCTTGTTAGAATAGAATAGAATTCAACTTTATTGTCATTGCACATGCAGAGGTACAGGGCAACGAAATGCAGTTTGCATCCATCCAGAAGTGCTTTAGTGATATAGATATATTACAATATATATTAGCAATAATATAGATATGTAAGTATATTACAGAAATGGGTCTATTATGGTATGTTATAATGTACACGGTATGAAGTATGTTGTGAATATTCTATAACTATAAGTATGTACTAGAGATGGACCGATCCGATATTACGTATCGGCATCGGTCCGATACTGACCTAAATTACTGGATCGGATATCGGAGAAAAATAAAAAATGTAATCCGATCCATTAAATATCACGAAAGCACCTCACAAAACTTGCAACACGCCGTAACTCGCCTCAGAACGTTAGCAGTCGGAGCAGTATGCGTCACGTGATAGAGCGGCTGTGGCATGCAGGACCTGTCGGTGGTCTGGATAGCATTTGGAGCTTCGCTAGCAACCTGGCATTTCATCTCCGACAAAGTTATCCCCGAGAGAAGTAAAGCACGTGTGTAAGTCCATCTCTGAATGTTTGTAAAGCATTCCCACGTTAAGCTTAACGAGCGACTGCCTCTCGCTCTCTGGCTGCTACTTCAATCGTGAAACTGCTTAAATGATCAGCTGATCGGCTTTTCTGTTGCGAGTCTGTCTCTCTTGTTTGTTTTTGGTCCACTTTGCACCAGAAAGAGGAAACCAGCGGCTGAACAACAGCAGCACGTTTAAGCTTGATAAGCTGTTGTTACAATTTATTTAATATTACTTTCTACACCAGGATCTTTTTCTACGTAGCTGACGGCTGGTAACTGTGCAGGGGCGGATCTAGCAAAGTTTAGCCAGGGGGGCCGATAGGGCATTAACTGGGAAAAGGGGGCACAAAGACATACTTTTCTTTCTTATTCTCATTTAAAATGTCGAGCTTTTAATAAATAATTATCTGACACCCAAAGTTTTAATTTGATGTAAAATGAATAGAAGTCAATTACTGTATATAGTGACTATTAAGTCTAATATATATACCCTAGTAAGCTATAGTACTTTTTACTTTGGGAAGGTACCATCTGTGCAGTCTGCAATTTTGTTGAAGAAAGATGTTGAATCTATTTAATATTTCTTGAAAAATAATTGATTTCTGTGCATTTTTTTTTTCACACTGCATCAAATTAAGGTTGATTACGTCGATTAAGCATCATGAGGTGGAGCGTGAGGGGTGGTTCCCTATTTTTTATTTATTTATTTTTGTTGTTGCTGGGAGTTGGAACCCTATTAGTTAGGTTGCTTAATATTTACGCTAAGTACTCTTTAAAATACCAGAACAGGGAGGATGGTGTAGGTCTAAGTTTATTAGATTGATCAGTATTGCTGAACTATGAAATATTTTTTTTGTATACAGGTATAACAGAATAGCTTTAGTGTAGTTGTTGTTTTAAACTTGAGTATGAACTTGCAGACTTGCAAAATGCAGCAAGATATTTTAAAAAACAGTTTTGTTGATTAAAAAACACTATATCGGATTCATATCGGTATCGGCAGATATCCAAATTTATGATATCGGTATCGGTATCGGACATAAAAAAGTGGTATCGTGCCATCTCTAGTATGTACAGGCTGTAGTGAGTACAAGCTATGTACAGGCTATGAACAGGATATAAATATGAAAAACTATACAGAATATGAAATAAATAACTTTACAGAAATCTGAGATATACAGTTATACAGAAATGGGAACTATGCAAGTTGTAAACAGTTGTAGGATTAAAAATTATCGTATGTACAGAATGATTATTTACACAGAGCTATACAGTAGTGCAGTTAAGATAAGTGAAATATGTAGATAATTCCTACAGAGGCTATATAAAGTGCTAGTGGTTTTGAGTGGTGGTTTAGTCCATGTTATTATTGTGTTTTTGAGGGTACAGTTGTCCATTGTGGGTGTGTGTATGTTCAGTCCATGTGTTAACGTGGGTCAGATGTCAGGAGGCAGAGTTCAGGAGTCTGACAGCTGTGGGGAAGAAGCTGTTCCGGTACCTGGTGGTCTTAGTCCGGAGGCTCCTGTAGCGCCTCCCAGAGGGCAGGAGGGTGAAGAGTCCATGTGATGGGTGACTGGGGTCTCTGATGATTTTCCCAGCCCTTTTCAGACACCGCTTCCTGTAGATGTCCTTTATGGCAGGAAGTGGTGCTCTGGCGATGCGCTGGGCAGTTTTCACGACCCTCTGCAACGCCTTCCGGTCTGAGGCAGAGCAGTTCCCGTACCAGACTGTTATACAGTTGGTCAGGATGCTCTCGATGGTGCAGCGTCAAGTTGTTCTTGACGCTGCCCCTCATAAGGATTGAGGATTTTTGTCCTTTGTGTTGATTTTGTCATTATTCACAGTGTTAATGTGCAAAAGCAAAGTTTTGAGGGAAACTTACAATTGTTCTGTTGTAGTGAATCCAGCATGGCATACAGAGGACAGTGAAAAATGAGACCTCTTGGTCTTCTGCTTTTGACTGGATGACCGCTCTGTCCGCCCTACCAACACCTCTTTAGCTACAAGTACGAGTTTTACAACACATTTACTGTAAGACGTGTTTCCAATGTCAAAGCGAGGAAATTCATGAATTTGTAACTCGAGAGGATGCAATTGAGCAGTTGTATTCACTAATTTGAGGTTGCAATCACAGAGCTTTGGTTGTAAGTTGTAAAAATATATGTAAAATTTAAATTCGAAATTTAAATTTTGGTTTTGCAAATATAAGTCTATTTGTGCATGTTTATTCTGTAACTAAATTTAACACACTTGTGAAAGCACAAAATAATAATGAAAATTTCAAAATACAAGTTAAATTTTTTTCTAAACACATTTTATTCTACAAGCTCTCAAATTTTGCAACATTTCCCTTGGTGTGTGATTATAAACAAATTAAGATTCAGTTTGTAGTATGATTGCAGTCATACTTGCACACGGGGCATTTATGAAATGATGGATTTGTGTGTCGTATTCACCTTCAAATCACGGTAAACAACGTCACGTGAATGGAGGTACTCAAGTGCTGATACAATCTCAGCACCATAGAAACGTGCCCGGTCTTCTGTGAAGACTCGTTCACGTGAGAGGTGGAAGAAGAGCTGAAGAAAACAGAGCAGAGAGAGTCAAGGACTTACCTGGTGTTACACAAGATCTGTCTACGTGTAAATGGTTAACTCTTGAACTGGGTGCATCCCATATGACTGATGAGTTGATTATGGATGTAGGATATGGGGTCTCACCTCGCCTCCATTAGCATATTCCATTACAAAACAGAGTCGATCGTGGGTTTGGAAGGCATATTTCAGTGTCTGTAAGAACGTTATCACAATGAAAATAAAATATCAGGTATACAGCGAAGAATCCCTATGTAACTACTAACCATCAGGAGAAAAACAAACAAACAAAGTAAATAGAAAGAGGCCTTTGATTGGGTTTAAGAATTTTTAAGATTCCTCAAAAATCAATTAAAAGACTCAATTTTCCCTTGCTTCTGATTTGAAGACTGCAACGTGAAGATACTGTAATGAGTTTAATAGCGTTTAAGAAATGACAACTAGTTTCGGGTCATAGTTTAGTAGGCTCATCCTATCTCAAAGCAGCTATCTTTTACAACATTTCCTGCTCGACCATCTCCAATTTGAGCAGTTTTAACATGTCAGACACTTAACTTTTGCTTCATCTAGTAAATTCTTGTCTAAATATACTTTGCTTATACAAACAAGCAGAAAGAAAATGATACACATACACACATATATACACACATATATATATACAGTGGGGCAAAAAAGTATTTAGTCAGCCACCGATTGTGCAAGTTCCCCCACTTAAAATGATGACAGAGGTCAGTAATTTGCACCAGAGGTACACTTCAACTGTGAGAGACAGAATGTGAAAAAAAAATCCATGAATCCACATGGTAGGATTTGTAAAGAATTTATTCGTAAATCAAGGTGGAAAATAAGTATTTGGTCAATAACAAAAATACAACTCAATACTTTGTAACATAACCTTTGTTGGCAATAACAGAGGTCAAACGTTTACTATAGGTCTTTACCAGGTTTGCACACACAGTAGCTGGTATTTTGGCCCATTCCTCCATGCAGATCTTCTCGAGAGCAGTGATGTTTTGGGGCTGTCGCCGAGCAACACGGACTTTCAACTCCCGCCACAGATTTTCTATGGGGTTGAGGTCTGGAGACTGGCTAGGCCACTCCAGGACTTTCAAATGCTTCTTACGGCGCCACTCCTTTGTTGCCCGGGCGGTGTGTTTTGGATCATGTTGGAAGACCCAGCCTCGTTTCATCTTCAAAGTTCTCACTGATGGAAGGAGGTTTTGGCTCAAAATCTCACGATACATGGCCCCATTCATTCTGTCCTTAACACGGATCAGTCGTCCTGTCCCCTTGGCAGAAAAACAGCCCCATAGCATGATGTTTCCACCCCCATGATTCACAGTAGGTATGGTGTTCTTGGGATGCAACTCAGTATTCTTCTTCCTCCAGACACGACGAGTTGAGTTTATACCAAAAAGTTCTACTTTGGTTTCATCTGACCACATGACATTCTCCCAATCCTCTGCTGTATCATCCATGTGCTCTCTGGCACACTTCAGACGGGCCTGGACATGCACTGGCTTCAGCAGCGGAACACGTCTGGCACTGCGGGATTTGATTCCCTGCCGTTGTAGTGTGTTACTGATGGTGACCTTTGTTACTTTGGTCCCAGCTCTCTGCAGGTCATTCACCAGGTCCCCCCGTGTGGTTCTGGGATCTTTGCTCACCGTTCTCATGATCATTTTGACCCCACGGGATGAGATCTTGCGTGGAGCCCCAGATAGAGGGAGATTATCAGTGGTCTTGTATGTCTTCCATTTTCTGATGATTGCTCCCATAGTTGATTTTTCCACACCAAGCTGCTTGCCTATTGTAGATTCACTCTTCCCAGTCTGGTGCAGGTCTACAATACTTTTCCTGGTGTCCTTCGAAAGCTCTTTGGTCTTGGCCATGGCGGAGTTTGGAGTCTGACTGTTTAAGGCTGTGGACAGGTGTCTTTTATACAGATGATGAGTTCAAACAGGTGCCATTCATACAGGTAACAAGTGGGGGACAGAAAAGCTTCTTACAGAAGACGTTACAGGTCTGTGAGAGCCAGAGATTTTCCTTGTTTGAGGTGACCAAATACTTACACTCAACAAAAATATAAACGCAACACCTTTGTTACTGCTCCCATTCCCCATGGGATGGAGGTAGAGACCTAAAATTCATTCCAGATACACAATATAACCATCCCTCCCAAACAGTGGTCACAAATCAGTCCAAATGTGTGGTAGTGGGCACATCTGCTATATTGAGATAATCCATCCCACCTCACAGGTGTGCCACATCAGGATGCTGATCTGACATCATGAGTCTTGCACGCTCCCTCATTGCTTGTGGCATCTGTGGCATTTTGCTGTGAGACAAAACTGCACATTCCAGGGTGGCCTTTTGTTGTGGGCAGTCTGAGGTACACCTGTGCACTACTCATGATGTCAGATCAGCATCCTGATGTGGCACACCTGTGAGGTGGGATGGATTATCTCAATATGGCAGATGTGCCCACTACCACACATTTGGACTGATTTGTGACCACTGTTTGGGAGGGATGGTTATATTGTGTATCTGGAATGAATTTTAGGTCTCTATGTCCATCCCATGGGGAATGGGAGCAGTAACAAGGGTGTTGCGTTTATATTTTTGTTGAGTGTATTTTCCACCCTGATTTAGGAAAAAATTCTTTACAAATCCTACCATGTGAATTCATGAATTCTTTTTTCACATTCTGTCTCTCACAGTTGAAGTGTACCTCTGGTGCAAATTACTGACCTCTGTCATCATTTTAAGTGGGGGAACTTGCACATCGGTGGCTGACTAAATACTTTTTTGCCCAACTGTATATACATACGTACATACGTATATATACACACATACGTACATACGTATATATACACACATACGTACATACGTATATATACACACATACGTACATACGTATATATACACACGTACGTATATACGTATATATATATATACATACGTACGTATATACGTATATATATATATACATACGTACGTATATACGTATATATATGTATATACATATGTATATATATATATGTATATACATACATATATACACATACATATATATACATATATGTATATACATACATATATGTATATACATACATACATATATATACATACATGTATATATATACATACATACATATATATACATACATGTATATATATACATACATACATATATATACATATATGTACATGTATATATATACATATATGTATATATTAATATATATATATATATTATATATATATATATATTATATATATATACATATATATATATATATATATATATATATATATATATATATATATATATATATATATATATATATATATATATATATATACATACACACATACACATATATATATACACATATATATATATATACACACACACACACACACACACGTGTATATATACTAGGGGTGCAACGATACACAAAATTCACGGTTCGGTTCGATACTTTGGTGTCACGGTTCGATATTTTTTCGATACAAAAAAAATGTTCATGCCTTCTTAATTTGTCATTTATTAAAATTATAAATATATATTTTAACTCAAAAGTACAGTTTTTAAATTTAACCCTAACCCTTGTACGTGTTTTTTATTTTGACAGCGAATGCGCACCTGCGGACCACTTATGTGCAGCCCTGGTTATTTAGCTTGTCATATTGCAGCCACAGAAATTCTTTTGTCCATGAAACCATAAAGCTGCACTTTCTTTTTGCCTTATAGTCTCATTTGTCATAACTTCTCCGTTTTGTGGTAAGCTTTTCTTTGGCTGTCACTTCTTCACCCTGACCTGTCTTATTTGGCTCAGCAGAACTGAAATGCTTTTACACACTCACTCACATAAGCTCAGCGATTCTCTGCGCGATCAACCTCTCACATGTTTAAGCTTGTTGCGGGAGATTTCACTTGTCATGTTTGCATAGTAAGCTAACGATTAATAAGACGATGTCAGAGGAATTGGTGCACAAATTATCATCACTCACAGATCAGTGCTGTCGCTCTCTATACACAGTTCGCACGATTGCAAAGTGAAAGCAAAACAACAAGCGCAAATTCAAACGCGATTTCAATATGTCACATATTGACAGTGGCTCACCGATGCCAATGACATAATTACCCAACTACATTTCCGAAAGAATGCAAAAGCATTGACATATATTTTTCTTCCTACAATAGCCCGACTGGAAAAATCGCTAGCTCCGGGACGTCGGGCTAGCGATATTGCAAGCCCTGTATCTGATTGAGGAATCACTCATCTTTGGAAAAGAGAGTTTATTACAGAGAAATGTCTCTTTCCAAAATAAAAGCTATACTATCCGCTTCTTCTGGGCTATATTCTCAGCAGCATAAGGAGAATCATGTGCTAACAGCTGTCTAAATGACTCGGCTAAAGTTAGTAGCATGCTTGTTGTTTTTGTTTTTGCACTAGGATGATGTCGGCGTAAATGTGCAGTCATATTCGTTGTGTTCCCACTAGTGCTTTCAGGTTAATCTCGTTGAAATGACCTTAACGCCAAAACACGGCAAATCTACATATGGTACATAGCCCCAAGTGCGATAGGAGAAGGATCGTTGAGTGCGAGAGGAACTGACCTGAAAAATAGGATAATGGCCAAGCTTGAAACCTGGATCCCCCGTAGCCGGTTACCAAGATTACGTGAAGTACCCTCAGAACGTCTGCTAGATGATGTTAATGCAGCACTACGGACAATACCTACAACCACGATTACCGACACTAACAAGCTGATCTACAATACGGCAGCCATGATCAGTGAGATGCTTGGCTACAAGTTGAACAGCCACAAGGGGCAGTACCCTCCATGGAGAAGGAGGCTAGAGGGCAAGATCAAAGTAGCACGAAGGGAGGTTAGCCAACTAACGGAGCTGCAGAAAGGTGCGACAAAGAAGGTGCATAAGAAATACAGCAAGCTGTCCATACCTGAGGCCTTGGAAACTGCCAAGCAAAGACTCACAGCCTTGGCCAGCCGCTTGAGGAGGTACACCAGAGAGATAGAAGGCAGGAGAATAAACCAGCTGTTCTCCACAGAACCAGCAAAGGTGTACTCTCAGTGGCAAGGGAACAATAATAAGAGAACAGCACCACCAAGGCTGGAGACGGAGCAATACTGGAAGAGCATATGGGAGAAGGACGCAACCCATA